CGTGTCTTATCACCCAGTCACCCCATCCCTCCCACCCCACCCCCCACTCCAGCAACCCTCAGTTTGTTTCCTGCAATTAAGAATTCCTCATATCAGTGAGGTCATATGATACATGTCTTTCTCTGACTTATTTCGCTCAACATAATACCCCATCCTGCTCTCTTTTCACTTCGCTGTAAAACATTCCTCCACACAGGCCTCTGTAAACAGCTCCTGGCGCACCAACTTCGTCATTTCCAATCTGTCCCTCTCAGGGCCTCACGGCGCCCGGCCTGCATACGGCCTGCTCCTCTCTGGGGCGCTGGCGTGCCTCTGTTTCCCCACTCCACGTGCCCACGGACAGCCTGTAACAAGGCTTCTTCCAGGGCGCCGAGGGACTGGAACCCTCAGCCAGGCTGCTCCCCGCTCCGGCAGGCTGCTCGCTCAGCAGGCCCCGGGACAGAGCTAAGGGCAGTGAGCCATGAGCTGGGCGCCTGCTCGGGCTCCTCACCATGACGGGGCCTCCCCTGAAGCCGCGGGGCAGGAGGGGGCAGCCAGGACAGGAGAGGGGGAGCCGTTCCCAGAGCCCTGGCGCTGGCCCAGCTGCACACTGATGGAGCCCCGCGCGGCGGGTGCACCCTCAAGCCCGCCCTGCACAGCCTTACCCTCCACGGGAAATACTGGTCTTCCAGGCGACCGATGCCCAGGCACCCTCGGATGTTCTTGCCCCACACAAACAGCTCTCCTTTGTCTGCAAAGAAAGGAAAATGGTAGTTTGGTTGGGGCTAGACCAAGAGCAAGTCTCCAGGAGGAGGGTCATGAGAACAGGCCTTCTAGAACCAGGAACCAACAGGGCCCTCTGTTCAATTTCAATTTCTACCCAGCCTTAATGCTTTCCTTTGAATGGATGCACGCTGCGTCCGTCACGCGGGGGACTGGTGCAGGCGCGGTGCTCTGGGGCCAGGCGGCTCCACACACAGCCCGCTCTGCTTGCCCCTTCTGCACACCCCCTTCTCAAAGCCTGACAGCTGAGCCCCTCTCGAGCCCAGGTCACGCCCTGACTGGGTGAGAAGCAGGACGATCTGTCATTCCTTGTCTGCTTTCCGTATCCTGGGACCATTGGGTCAAGAGATACAGTGACCAGCGCCTCTGTGGGCCAGGTCTTCATCCATGTGCCAGGAGCTGGGACAGGGCAGCGACTGAACACGCACGGTCCCTGTCCTCATGGGGCTGTGGCGAGTCACAGAGCAAGACCCAGACACTTGAGCAAACCTCACTGTAAAAATGGATGTTTACAAATTATAAAAAGTGCCACGAGGGAGGAGGACAGCCCAGCAGACTGAAGGCAGAGGGGGGCCCTGGGAATGCCAACCTGCAGGACGGGCCCCCAGCCCTGGCAGGGCACCACCCACAGCCCCTTTGTTATGAGCAGTCTCAGCCCTCTGATCTCACCATCCTCCTCGGTTCTCCCCCCTCAGATTTTATCTGTTCAACAGAACAATTCAGTCTGCCCCCCCCCGCAAAAAAACGTGAGCAGACCTCAGGGTAAACCGACCGACGCCAACCCCCAGCTGGCAGGATGCAAATGCTGGGCCCACAGACGCGGCAGAAACCCCAGCTCTGGCACTCCCCCTTCTAAGGGGCAGTAACCAGCACGTGGAGGGTGGCCACCGGGTCCTGGGGAAAATCAATGGGACCCACAGCGGCCACAAGGCATGACAGCAAACAGAAAACAGTCCACTGCAGTCGAACACTTCGTATAAATTTCCAAGAATGTGACTCTGCGCAGAGTTTAAGCCCGGAAATATCCTGGAAAATAGATCTTTGTTGCCTCCAGAATTCGGCCATACGGATTCTCATTGGCTCAAGCAAAACAGCTTCAAAAAACTCCTGTGACTCAGAACGACCCAAACTCAACATCCCAGCCCAGCTGTTTCAAAAGAAAACAATTACTTCCCATGAAATGAGAAGATTTTCTAATCGCAAGGAAACCGCGAATTTACTTGAGAATCACAACGTGAAATGAATTTAGTTCAATCTGACTGTTAAGTCAGCGACAGAGCGGCAAACCGAACCAGCAACGCTCACCGAGGTGGAGTAAGACACAGTGGATACGCCAGCCAGACGCCCGCGAGTCACGGGATATTTGATGGCTTTGTAATCTGGCAACGCTTTGCGAAAACCTCCATCGTGGCCTCTGATCCCTCTGGAGGACTCGGGCAGACTGGCCTCCGAGAAACCACAGGATGGGCTTCCAGACCCACCTCCTGCCGTCCCACACATCACCTCCTGGTTACCCACCGTGGATTCGCCAGACCCCTCTGCAGCCGTCTGCTGGTACCCCTCTCCTACCACCAACTGGCGCCCTCTTGAGGAAACTCGCTTTACCGTTAGCCTGACCACAAGCCAAATGAACCAAAAACACAGGACTCCAGGATGAAGAGAAATGCACATCACAGGACCTCAAGGCCAAGCAACTCGTGGCTTAGCCGCTCTCTGGAAGGGTCCACACAGAGAAGGGAGAGTGCAGCGTGAGGCTGCGGCTTCACCTGACACAGCTAAGCTCTGCCAGCCCCCAGGGTTGCTCGGGCTTGGCCACTTACTGGTCAGGGCAGCAAAGTGGCTGAGGCCACATCGGATGAGGGAAACGTGGACTTCCGGGTTGAACTCCGTCAGGCCGAAGAGAGTGGGCGGGATCACCTCGGGAAGCGCACTTTCCACAAGGTTCGGTCCTTTCCCAAGAATTCCGTAGCCCCAGACGAAAACCTGTCCTTCTCCTGCGTTAGAGCACAGTGGTCAGTCAGGCGAACCAAGCACAGCCCGCCCTCACTGGAAATTCAGACCGCACCACCAAGATCCACTGTATCCACGCGGATGGGTTTTTTTTTCCCCCCTCCTTGCTTGGCAAGAACACACGGACAGAGATCTAAAATCATGTTTCTTCTCTCCTCTTTCCAATTCTCGCCTGTGGTGGACGTCTAGCCAGCTAACCCATCTCAGGACACAAACTTCCCACATCCGGAGCGTAACTGGGACGGGCCCGGGTCATCTGTCACTCAGCAGCCGGGCGAGCACAGGGGAGGCTCAGAAGGACGATTTTTCCCACACAGATGTTCTGCGTTTCACACCGATTGTGAGAGCAAGCCAAGTACACAACCAACCTCTGGCCAGATTCCTAAAAGTCTCAGAAATGAGTATTTTGGTCATAGGTTTAATGCTCCTCAGCGGTGCCAGACATGTAGTCCCAGGGCCATGGGCCTCGGTATCCACACCTGACGGCCCTTCTCCTCTCTGCCCTTCTCTCTTCTCTTCTGGCACAGCCTCCCTGGGGAAGGCAGGGCTGAGTCTCCGGCCCAGGCGAAGGGAGAGGCAGGAGCAGATCCCAGAGGTCTGCTATTATTACAGAGGTTGGAAGGACTCGGCCCCGTCACCGTCTATTTGTCTACATCTGAATCATGGCTACTATCCTTCTGTCAAGAACGTCACCCTCACCGTCTATGAAACTGAGCCCAGTCTAACCAGGCCTTCCCACAGCCACGCTCCCTTCCCTCCCTCGGGCTGAGGGCTGCAGCCAAGACTCCGGTGGCCCCTGAGCCGTGCCCCACCCAACCCACCTAGAGCTCCCCGACGAAGCGCCCGCAGGAGGGTCTCACCATTTAACACGGCACATCCTGTACCACCACACGCGGCCTGCTTCACCTTCCCCACTCCTGAGAAGGGCAAGCACCGGGGGACGTTCACCTGAATCCAAACCAGAGCCACACTGTTAGGAAGACAAACCAGCGAGAACTCGGAAATGCTCTGTCTCGTGTGCAAAGTAGAGAAGTCCCAGTTCGCTGACACAATCTATAAGTATTTCCTGAACGTCCAAGACACACTAAAGATCTAACCAGGTGCTGGGATTCAACAGGGAGGAAGTGACTTGGTCCCTCTCTCAGAGCGGAGTCCAGTGGAAAAGGTAAGAGGCCAGCCAAAATTAACCCCAAATTAATTTGCACTGAATGCAATGAAGTAGAGTCCAGGGTCTCAGAGAGTGAATGTCGGGGAACCTGATCGAGTTTGCGGGGAGGAGCATCAGGGAAGGACCCGGAAGGCTTCATTTTATCCTGGGACCTCAAGGATGAGCAGGGGTGACCAGGAGTGGAGCTGGCCCGTGCGTGGGGCAAGGGGTGAGCGGGCCGCCTTCAGGGGGCCTGAACAAGGTCAGAGAGGCTGAAGTGGAAGCCTGAGGGGAGATATAGAGCCCAGGTCGGCAGGAGGTCGTGGACCCCGGTAAGGAATTAGTTTTTCTCCTGAGCACAATGGGGAGCCAGCAGGGGTACTAAGAAGAGGAGGATTTCCAGAGGCCATGTGAGGGGACCTGGGACACAGTGGAAGACTGGGGTGTGGGTGATGCGCAAGTCACTGTGCCCAGAGACAGCCGAGTGGAAATGTCTGGGGATATAGACGTGTGGACCCCCAAAGAGCAGTCTGGGTGGAGAGCGGGAAGTCCACACGGGGAGTCTGCAGGTGGAGGCCGCATGGGTCGGGTGGAAGGACAGACGGGGAGGGACCAGTGGAGAAGGAGAGGTTGGAGCTGTGGGGAAGAAGGCCCAGCAGATGGAGGAGGGCTCCTGAGAAGGCGGGAGGAGACGGGACCCGGGACGTAGGGAGGAGAATCGCGTCACAGGGGAAGCCTGGAGGGTAGAGGACTCAGAGTGGGAAACTGAGGGCACTCGTATCTGATAGCATATGTTTTCTCTATGAATCGGGCCAGATCTGCTGCCGAGAACGAGAGACACGAGGGTCAAGGGTTTGCAGAATGAAGTGTGGCCAACTCAGCTTTCCAGCGGGATTTGGTCTTGGTGCCTCTACTGAGGAATAAATCTGGAGACCCCTGGATTCCTGACCCACAGAAACTGTGAGACAATAAATGTGTGTTGGGTGCAATCACGAAGTGCTGGGGTCATCTGTTATGCAGGGGTAACAGTGCCATGACCCCCGGATCTGTCCGCCACAGGAAGGCTGTGGGGGACAGGTTCTCAGGACTTGGGAGCAGGAAGAGCAACAATTTTCCTGAACACGTTATTTGTTTATCTTATAGAAACAATGAATCATTTAAATGGGCTTGTTTTCTTCTCTGCTTTGGCTTAACTGGGAAGCTCAGAACCGTATCTGCCACAGCTTCTAGCCACTGGGCCGGACCACAGGGAATGCTTCTCCTCATCCTGTTCGCTGACCTTTAGTTTCCCTCTGGGCTGATCTCTTTATTAATACATATTTAAGGGGCGCCTGGGTGATGCGGTCAGTTAAGCGACCGACTCTCTGTTTCAGCTCAGGTCGTGATCTCAGGGTCTTGGGATCGAGCCCCGTGTCAGGCTCTGTGCACAGCAGGGAGTCTGCTTGAGATTCTCTCTCTCTCTCTTTCCCCCTCTGCCCCCCACCCACTCTCTTGCCCTCTCAAATGAATAAATCTTTAAAAAATAAATATTTAAAACCTTCTGTATGTTGTCAGAAGTTTGACAGTATTAAGGAATAAAGTGTATTTTTTAATTAGTCCTTATCTTTTAGAGGAGACATATGTAAACTTTTATGGATAATATATGACATCTGGGGGTGCCTGAGTGGTTCAGTCGTTAAGCATCTGCCGTTGGCTGAGGTCATGACCCCAGGGTCATGGGCTCGAGCCCCACATCAGGCTCCCTGCTTGGTGGGAAGCCTGCTTCTCCCTCTCCCACTCCCCCTGCTTGTGTTCCCTCTTTATCTCTGTCAAATAAATAAATAAAATCTTTAAAGAAAAAAAAAAATATGACGTCTGGGATTTACTGCAAAATAATCCAGGGCAGGGGCACCTGGGTGGCTCAGTCAGTTAAGCGACCGACTCTCAGTTTCAGCTCAGGTCGTGATCTCAGGGTCTTGGGGTCGAACCCCCGTGTCAGGCTCCGTGCATAGCAAGGAATCTGCTTGAGATTCCCTCTCTCCCTCTCCCTCTTCTGTTCTCTCTCTCTAAAATAAATAAATAAATCTTTAAAAAAAATACATATTTAAAACCCTCTGTATATGTCAGAAGTTTAATAGTATTAAGGAATAAAGTATATTTTTTAAATAGTCCTGATCTTTTAGAGAGACATATAGAAACTTTTATGGATAAAATATGATGTCTGGGATTTACTGCAAAATAATCCAGGGCAGGGGCACCTGGGTGGCTCAGTTGGTTGAGGTCCGACTCTTGGTTTCAGCTCAGATCGTGATCTCAGGGTCTTGGGATCGAGCCCCACGTCAGGCTCCACACTCCGCAAGGAGCATGCTTGAGATTCTCTCTCTCTCCCTCTCTCCTGCCCACCCCCTTGCACATGCTCTCTCTCTCTCTAAAAAAAAAATCCAGGGCAGAGAAGCAGATAGCAACAAAAACTGGCCATTAGGGGTATGGGGTTGTTTTTTGGGGGGGAAGGAGGGTAAAGAAAATGTTCTGGAATTAGATGGCTGCACAACTCAAGACTACACTAAAAACCACTAAATTCTACACTTGAAAATGGTGAATTGTGTCTCGGGTTTCTGAGTGGGGGTGGGGTTTGGTTTTGTCTGTTCTTTTAAATAGGCCCTTAGTTGAGAACTGTTGAACGCAGGTGAGAGATACATGGAGATTCATCATGCAGTGAGCTCTACTTTTTGTTTTCACCTGTGACTCCCCTTCATGCTTAAACCCTGCCTTACTGTACGGAGGCTGGCTCCCTTCGGTGAGAAGGCGGGGGCGGTGGGGACAGGCCACAGGCAGTGGTTCCTGAAGTCCTGTGCGTGTCCTGCTGCCTGGGGGGCGGGGAGGGGGGCACGTGCACACTTGTGACCTGCACGCTCTGTGTGGCAGGAATATACACGGCAACAGGAAGCGCATGGGGACACCATGGGAGCTCCTACCCCTTTCAGACTGGGACGGGGCGCACAGGCGCACCCAACGGCCTGCTCTAAGGACTACCGCACTGGAGGCTGGAGAACCATGGCTTTGACCCCCAGCTTTCGTTCCAGACTCTGAGCAGCTGGCCAGGAAGAGGCGGTCTTACAGGTGACTGGGCCTAAACTGCACATCCCACGTAACACTTCGCTGAAGAGGCTTTTGTTTTCTTTAAAGATTTATTTATTTGAGAAAGAGAGTGAGCGCGGGCACACGCACACAAGCAGGAAAGGGGCAGGGGGCGAGGGAAAGAATCTCCAGCAGTCTCCCGACAGAGCACGGGGCCCACGACCCTGAGATCAGGACATGAGCTGCAATCAAGAGTCGGACACCCAACCAACCGAGCCGCCCAGACGCCCCTGAAGAACCTCATAAACGCCCGTAACCCTCTGTAATTCCAAACCTCCCGGGCGGCGCTGTGAGCGACCCGTACCTGTGTGGAGTCGGTGACGGCGGCCAGCTGCAGGTACTCCGAGTTCCCCCAACCGAAGAGGCCGCCCTCAGCAGACACGGCCAGGCAGCAATCGCCGTGGGTGGCCACCTGCACGACGTGCACTCCGGCCAGGTCCCCGGCCAGCTTGGTGGGCACGCTGGTGATACGGTAGTGACCCAGACCTGCCACGACGGCCAAGCGTTACTCCCAGCTACTGACTCTGGGAACAGACACTTCCACCGGCTTCCTACATGCCGAGCACAGTGTCAAACGCTTTACAAGGAGCAGCTCGGCAAGGCTGATCTGGTCCTCTGCGCGCGCTATGGCTTCCTTCTCCACGCTCTCTCAGAGGAGGAACGAACAGAAGAGTGAGCGTTTATTTTTAAAACCGTGGAGGCTTTCTAAGTCTGATTCAAGTTAGAAACGTTGACGAGACAGAACAGCATGACACAATGAGGCCTGGGGACCCTATGAGAATACACACATGGAATGCTGCAACAAGCGATCTCCAATGCACTGTCGTTGGGCTTACCAGAGAATAAAGGAAATCACTCAGAGCCCATCCCACCCCCCACAACACCCCCCAAAATAACAGTAAGCCGAAACTAGCTCACTGGCGTGGTAGACAGTGAACAGGGGAAAAGGCAGGGCGGGCCAGAGGCTATCGGGACACATGTCACCATCCGCATGTGACAGAAGGAGAGCCCCGGGCAGCAGACCAGGGCAGATCGCACACCCCCGACTCCCTGCTTTAAACCAGGCTTCCACAATGGGACCCAGGGCAACGTCAGACTCGAAGCACCCCTTAGCAACAGGCAAAAGCCAACCTGAACCCCCTCTGGAGGAAAGCATCTCCATTTAGGCCCTTCCAGTTTCCGCAAGTTCAATTCAACGAAATAGGAGCCCACGGTCAAAAGTTACTCAACACACAAGGAAAGACGCCCCTGTGAGTCAGAGTAAACCAAACCAACAAAATAAAAAAAAGAACTGGGGGCAATGTTTAAAGAAACAAAAGCAGGAATAAGAGACTATTGAAAATGGCCAGGTAAATCTGAAAAGGAAGCGATAAGCAATGAAAAAAATACAGTTAAAATTCAAAACTGAAGCGGATGGACAAAAAGGCAAGCCCCACTCTGGGAAAAAACACGTGTGACACTAGAATCACAAAAAATACAGGGACAGGATAAAAAATGCCTAAAAATCAACAGGAAAAAGATAAATAAGTCAGCAAATGGGCAAAGAACAGAGTGCATGTTTCGGAAGACAGAAAATAAGCCAGGCCTGTGAACTTATAAAAAGATGGTCACTCTCAGGGACGCCTGGGTGGCTCAGTCGGTTAAGCGTCTGCCTTGGGCTCAGGTCATGATCCCAGGGTCCTGGTACTGAGTCCTGCATCGGGCTCCCCACTCAGCAGTGAGCCCGCTTCTCCCGCTGCCTGCCCCTCCCCCCGCTTGTGCGCGCTCTCTCTCTCTCTAACAAATAAATAAATAAAATCTTTAAAAAAAAGTTTGGTTTGTTGTTTTTGGTTTTGTTTTGTTTTGTTTTTCTTAATAACTCAAATTGGGAAGGATTACAAAAGAAAGGAACAGGATACTGAGATAGAATCTGCAAGGGAGGAGGACAATCATTTTAGGAAGGATGGCCCAGAAAGACTTCCCGGAAGAGATGGACACCCCAGATGAGGCCTAACGGATGAAAAGGAGAGCGAAGACAGGCATTCCAGGCAAGGTCGGCTTGTGTCAAGGCCCTCTGGCTACAAGAGGAGGCCGGCTCCAGGAAGTGACTGCAGGGGGCCTGCACGGCTGGACGCCAAGCCCAGCAAGGAAGGGCAGGGAGGCCACAGGAAGTGTCACCTGTGATAGCTAGTTTCTGGAATGGCACCGGGAAACTGTCAACCATGGTCATCTCCAGCAAGTGGGGCTTTCACTTTTCACCCTACAGCTCACAGCTCCCTAGTGCACCATCCCCGGGGGGAAGGGCCTACTACCTGTTTGCCCGTCGGCGCCCCAGCCACAAGAGTAGACTTCTCCTTTGTCCGTCAGGAACAGGCTATGGTCCTGGCCACAAACCACCTGTCAGACAAACAGCGGTGAGGCTAAAGAGAAATCCTTGGAAGCCCAGTGTCCTGGTCGATCGATGGACCCAAAGCTCCCCACATTCCCTACCACTCCCAAGCGGCGAGCCAGCCGGGCCCAACAGGCTGCCCTGCACGGCCTCCACATCTTATTCTTGCTCAGTCCCCTCCTCCATAAGCCTCACTCCTCCCCATTCCCCTCCTCAGCCTCCCTACTGGCCTCCGATCTTTGTCACTAGCTCCCCATCTTCCCTTCCAAGCCCTCAGGCTGCCCCCTCCTTCTACCATAACACCTTTCCTACCACCCAGCCCTGGTCTATCTGATACACGCCTCTGCCATCTCCCACGATGCCTTCTCCCCCTCCCACTCCACCCCTGGGAGACTTAACAATTCTCCTTCTGTGCTCTCAGGGCCCTTCCTGTAAGCATCCGCTTATGTATTTAAGTATTTATTGTAAGTACTGACCATGTGCCAGGCTCTGCACCGAGCAAGATATGGACAGCCTGGGACACACACAGCTAGCTTAACCTGTGCCGCCCCCTTAGAGTGTTAGCCCCCCAAACCTTATTAAACTCTGTACCCCCATAACCTAGTGGAAACCAATACCCTCCTGACCTACAGGAGACAGGCAATAATTTTTACTAAAATAGTTTATTAATTGAGATAATTGCCCTAACCAATTTGCCATCATCCCACCCCCCCACCTTTCACCCCTGCAAAGGCACCCCCAAGGGCTAGATGAGTGGCTCTCAGCATGTGCCTCTTACCTGGACCACCTGCCCATCGAAGTCCTGCATTCTGTTGACTTTGTGACTTTCGCTGAAGCCAGGAGCAATTTAGGTCAGGAGCAATTTAGGGAGAAGCAAGAGATATGGTCAAGGTAAAAGCACTGTGTAGTTCTGCCCCCGCCCATCACCCCTAACTGACGGACCCCACATGCACACAGTTAACTGTTAGGGAAACTCTCAAAGTCAAATATAGGGCAGAGGAAGGCCTAAGCATGAGAGCAAACCAAAACAACAACCCTTTGGTGATTTTTTTTTTTTTTAAATAGGCTCCATGCCCAATGTGGGGCTCAAACTCATAACCCCAAGATCAAGAGTCGCATGCTCTACGGACTGAGCCAACCAGGTGCCCCCCCACCGCCTCGGGTGATTTTTTTTTTTTAAGATTTTATTTATTTATTTGTCAGAGAGACAGAGAGAGAGTGCACAAGCAGGGGGAGCGGCAGAGGGAGAAGCAGGTTCCCACTGAGCAGGGAGCCCAATGTAGGGCTTGATCCCAGGACCCTGGGATCATGACCTGAGCCAAAGGCAGATGCTTAACAGACCGAGCCATCCAGGTGTCCCCCACCTTTGGGGATTTTAATATGCTGTCAGAGGTGAGACTTGTATTTAGACCCAACAGCATAATGTGAGGAAGGAGAGGGGAATTTTTTTAAAGACCAAAATAAATAAGGGTCTGGCTCAATGGGTAGAGCGTGCGACTCTTGATTTCGGGGCTGAGTCTGAGCCCCACGTTGGGTGTAGAGATTACTTAAAAATAAAATCTTGGGGGAAAAAAAACACTGAAATAAATAAGAATGGAACAGAGAAGAATTTTTAAAGTCAATCAAATTGGTAAATATAAAAAACTAATTCAAAAGAAGTTCTACACACCACAATCAACACCCGACCTCCCTCCCTTCCACCAAGCTACCATATGGAGCTCAACCCGCAATGGAACAATACCCTCCACAGCTTTCCAGTGACTTCTCACCGCCCCTCTCAAGCAGGGGGAAGAGTGCCATTTCCTGCTCTGTGGGTCTATCACTTAGTAACCACACGAGAAATGTTAAATGCTTAACACGATTTGGGGAAGTCCTTTGGGGAACTCACCTGTAAATTTCATTTTCGACCACGTTTCTTCCACACTGCCCATAAGAATTGTTTCCCATGCTGAAGACTGAAGAGGAACACCACCAGTGAAATCAGCTCTGCAGGTTCATGGGATCCCAGAATGTGAGGCCTTGCAAGGGGGTCTCAGAAGTGGTCTTAGTCCAACCACTCACCCTAAGCGCCCGGTTTCCCTGACACCCCCAGCCTTTGCAGACACGCCCACAGGCGTGCTGGGGCCTGGCCCTGCAGCAACAGCCTGGGCCACCTTGACGGTCCCCTCTGCCTTCCCCTGCAGGTCCTTGTTCCACCTCTCACAAATGCCACGTTCCGAGCCAAGCACCCCCTGAGGAAGGCCCCAGAACCCCCACTCCCTGGACCTGTCACCAGAGGGCAAGTTGCCCTCCATGCCAAAGGTACTCTCTTTTTTTTTTTTTTAAAGATTTTATTTATTTATTTGACAGAGAGAGACACAGCGAGAGAGGGAACACAAGCAGGGGAAGAGGGAGAGGGAGAAGCAGCTTCCCACCGAGCAGGGAGCCCGACACAAGGCTCGATCCCAGGACCCTGGGATCATGACCCGAGCCGAAGGCAGACGCTTAACGACTGAGCCACCCAGGCGCCCTGCCAAAGCTGCTCTTGAAAGAGTTCCTGAACACCACCTTTGCCTTTTCCCACAAAGCACACTTAGCCAGAAAATGAAATTGGAAACATTTAGTCAAGAGGGCCTTTCCCTGGAAACAATCACTCTTCGGGAGAGTCCGTGTTATGTGGACTCTGAAAGCCCAACAGCTGAAAAAGTGCTAGCAAACAGGCTCCTTTCACAACACAAAACACCATCTACACGCACAGCCCGGCTCAGTGACTTCACGGCAAAGCAAGTGGGTGGGAGGCCTTGCTAAGGCGACCTGGTGCGCACTGTCACATTTATAAATACCTGAGGTTTTCGAAGAATCGCAGAGAGCAGAGAACATAAAAGAGCTGGCAGGATCTGCCCAATGTGGTGATCTTGAGCCATCCTCCCGATTTGCTCGGGAAATGCCAGGAGCCTCACTAACTACATGTGGTTCCATCAAACGAACCAGCTTCAAGCCAAGGCCAAGGGGTCCCCCCCACCCTCCATGAACCTGGAACAGGCCAACTCACCTCCTTCACGGTCTGTCAGGATGAGAGAGTGGGCTCTGCCACAGGAGACCTGCAGCACCTGCGTCTCCTGAGGTCTGTCCAGAGGTAGTGGGACAGGCGAGGGCTCCAGAACATACTCATATCCCCTGGCTGAAAGAACGTGCAGGTTCACGACGCGTCACACGGACAGAGAGTCACAGCATCATGCTGTCCGACCCCCACACCGCCCCACAGTCACAGATCAGAGTGACTCATCAAGGCACATAAGCTAGTGGCAGAGCTAAGACGAGAGCCCCAGGCCCCAGGTCCGGACCCGCTGCACCCCACTGGCTCCAATGAGCCTTCCCGTGTCAATTAACACCATTTGCATCTAAGGAGAATGAAGGCATTTTCCTCCTGTAAGACCCACTAACCGGTAACGATACCGCTTGTATTAAAAAGTGGGGAAAAGAATATGTAGAAGCATCTGCTTGCATATGCATTACATCTCTCCAGAAGGAGAAACTGGAAACTGTTAACACAGGTTGTCTTCAGGGAGAAAAACTGTACGGCTGGGAGGACAGAGGCAGAAAGCAGCCTTTTCACCATATACTCTACTGCACCTGTAGGATTCTGAAGTATGCAAATAAGCTCTCTAGTCAAAAAAGAAAATTTTAGGGGCGCCTGGCTGGCTCGGTCGGTAGAGCATGAGACTCTTGATCTCAGGCTCGTGAGCTCGAGCCCCATGTTGAATATAGAGATTACTTTGAAAATAAAATAAAATCTTTAAAATTAAACTTTTCTTAATGAATTTGTTAATTAATTACAGTAAGCTCTACACCCAACGTGGGGCTCAAACTCATGACCCTGAGATCCTGGAGTTGCACACTCTACCAACTGAGCCACCCAAGTGCCCCTGAAAATTTTGATTTTTAAGTAAGGGGAAAGTTTCTTAGAAGTCACTCTACAGACAGTGTTAGCGTACACATCTCCTATTACTATCTGCATAGACCCCTAAGGGCCTGGGAAGCAGTAAATATGTATCATTTAAGCGGAACCTGGCAGTAAATACAGCTATCAGGAACTTAAACAGAACCACAGCAAACTCCAGACTGGAGAATTCTATAGGATAAACAGTGTGATTTTTTTTTTTTTTTTTTAGTTTTTTAAAGATTTTATCTTTAAGTAATCTCTACACCCACTGTAGGGCTCGAACCCACAACCCCGAAATCAAGAGTCGCACACTTCACCAACTGAACCAGCCAGGCGTCCCTCTTCTCTTTTCTTCCCTTTTTTTTTTTTAAAAAAAAAAGTAAGCCTTTATTTCTTTGTTTCACAAATACAGTTGGCTGAGTTGGTTGCCAATATAATTTTTTCAGTAAATAAGCTTCAAAAAAAAAAAGATTAAATAGACTTAAAAGACTTTTAAAAGTCTTAGCAACTGGGGTGCCTGGCTGGCCCAGTCGGTAGAGCATGGGACTCTTGATCTCAGGGCCCTGAGTTCAAGCCCCACGTTGGGTGCGGAACCTACTTTAAAAAAAATAAAAAATAAAGGGGTGCCTTGGTGGCTCAGTCATTGGGCGTCTGCCTTCGGCTCAGGTCACGATCCCAGGGTCCTGGGATCGAGCCCCGCATTGGGCTCCCTGCTCCGCGGGAGGCCTGCTTCTCCCTCTCCCATTCCCCCTGCTTGTGTTCCCTCTCTCACTGTGTCTCTCTCTGTCAAATAAAATCTTAAAAAATAATAATAATAAATAAATAAAATAAAAATAAAAATTTTATCAACTGATTGCAACATCTGGACCTTATCTGGATACTAATTCAAACGAATTTTTAAAAAATAAAATAAAAATCTAGGGCACCTGGGTGGCTCAGTTGGTTATGCAACTGCCTTCGGCTCAGGTCATGATCCCAGGATCCTGGGATCGAGTCCCGCGTTGGGCTCCCTGCTCGGCAGGGAGTCTCCTTTTCCCTCTGACCCTCCTCCCCCTCATGCTCTCTGTCTCATTCTCTCTCTCTCAAAAAAATAAAAATCTTAAAAAAAATAAAATAAAATAAAAAATAAAATAAAATAAAATAAAAATCTAATGACATTTATGAGATAACTGACAATTTGACCACTGACTGGATATTGGGTAACATAAAGGGATTATATTGTTCATTATTTTTAGGTGTGAAATGATGTTGCATTTACTGTTTTTTTAAGGTCCTTATTTTTTTTTTTAATTTTCTTTATTTATTTGAGAGAGAAAGAGCACAAGTAGGCAGAGCGGCAGGCAGAGGGAGAGGGAGAAGCAGGCTCCCTATGGAGCAGAGAGCCTGATGCAGACTTGATCCCAGGACCCTGGGGCCATGACCTGAGCCAAAGGCAGACGCTTAACCAACTGAGCCACCCAGGCGCCCCAAGGTCCTTATTTTTTTTTTTTAGATACGTACTGAAATATTTACTAATGAAATTAATAATGCTGGGAGTTGCTTAAAATTATTGAGGGGAAGGTACAGGAAATGAACAAAACCAAACTGGCTGAGTTGGTAACTGACGCTGGCATGCCTTACACGACTCTGTCCATTTCTGTGTATACCTAAACATCCTCCCAATGAAAGGTATAACAAATGCAATGTGGCATCTTATAGCTAAAAGAGACTTCAGTACTGACTTATAAAAGAATTTTGAGAGCTTGTTTGGAGGTTCTCGCAGGGGAGCACAGCTACTCGTATACCCTTGACCGAAGAACGGTCCTCCTCTATAGGGCAAGGTCAGCAGAAAATACACACTGATCAGAACTGTGCAAAAATGTATTTGCATATGAATAAGGAAACAAGAAAAAAAATGAAAAGGTTTATCCAGACAGTAAAGATACTGTCCAGTACAGCCATCCCCCCTTATCCATGTGGGATACATTCCAAGATCCCCAATGGATGCCTGAAACTACAGATAGGACCAAACCCCATATACACTACATTTTTTCTTTTGCATATCTATCTATGATAAAGTTTAATTTATAAATCAGGCGAGGTGCCTGGGTGGCTTGGACAGTTAAGCATCCAACTCTTGATTTCAGTTTGGGTCATGATCTCAGAGTCCTGGGATCGTGCCCCACATCAGGCTCCATGCTCAGTGCGGAGTCTGCTTTGGGGTTTTCTCTCTCCCTCTCCCTCCGCACACACACACACACACACTCTCCCTCTCTCTCAAACAAATAAATAAATAACATCTTTAAAAAAAGTTTATAAGTCAGGCACAATAAGAGAAACATTTTTACTTATCAGCAAAGGCTCTTTTGCCTAAAGGTTTAGTGTTATTACCAAAGAGGCTGACAAACAATCTATTCCAGATGGTCCCAAATAACATCCGTGTAAGACTCCATCTCTTCTGTTCTGCTAGTCTGGTTTATGTCACCATATTCTTGAAAACAAAAGGGAACTCCTTCATACCAATCACAGCACAGAGAAGCCAACATCAGCACACTCACTTTTATCTTTGCGGCTCCTCTGAAATCCAAGCTGGGAATCTTTGTTGAGCCCCATACCCCAAACTTTAGTCACATCCTTAGTTTTAGAGGATAGCAGTGTGAATCCATAGCCACAGGCAACAGATGAAATCTGAAAAAGAGTTCCCATAAAGCATGAATTGATTTGTGATATCAAGTTTTCTCCGCAATAAATGACAGGCTGTTTGCCCAATCAAAGAACACATAGTATTGGGGCACCTGGGTGGCTCAGTCAGTTAAGCATCTGCTTTTGGCTCAGGTCATGATCCCAGGATCCTGGGATCGAGCCCTGCGTCAGGCTCCCTGCTCAGCAGGGAGTCTGCTTCTCCCTCTCTCTCTCTTCCCCTCTCCCCACTTGTGTGTGTGCACGCGCACACTGTCTCTCTCTCTCTCTCCCCCTCAAATAAATAAAATCTTAAAAAAAAAAAAAAAAACATTTCAGGGATGGAGAAATCAAAGGCAAATAAACCGAGAAAAGTTTATTTGTAAAAGACTGCTAGAACTTCAGGTAACAGGGAGGGGTGCCTGGCTGGCTCAGTCGGAAGAGCTTGCAACTCTTAATCTCGGGGTTGTGAGTTTGAGCCCCACGTTGTGTGTAGAGACTACTTAAATAAATAAAACTTAAAAAAAAAGGGGGGGGAAGAAGAAGAAACAAGAACTTCAGGCAACAACAGCAGGAATCTGCAGACTTCCCGTCTGGGGTGCTCCATCAACTCCAACTCAGTCAGCACATATGTTTTTTGTGGGGTTTTGGGGTTTGTTTGTTTGTTTGTTTTAAGATTTTATTTATTTATTTGTCAGAGAGAGAGAGAGCACAAGCAGGGGAAGCAGCAGAGGGAGAAACAGGCTTCCCGAGGAGCAGGGAGCCCGGTGCGGGACTCCATGCCAGGACTCTGAGATCATGACCTGAGCCGAAGGCAGACACTTAAACAACTGGGCCACCCAAGCGTCCCAAGCACATATGTTTTAAAATGGCAGGGTTGACCATGAAAACCATCAACTTTGTTGCCACTTACTTTGGGGTAGAAGGTGAAAACTCATGCCCATAGTGAACTCAGTAGGAAACAAACAAGGAAAATCCACAACTTGACCAGTCTGAGGTTATAATCCTGACCAGGGCAAGAGAGGCAGACCAGGCAGCAGTGTAACGGAAAGCTCCTAAAAGTAAAATTGCCACAGAAGGCTCTGCACACATCCACGGCTGATTGGGGAACTCTGTGAGTGAACACGGGAGACCTGAGGACCCAGCACCAAGTAAAGCTGAAGGAGACTTGAGAACAGCGTGATCTTTGAATGTGGTCCCCAACCTTTACACAGAATCAAAGGTAGAAAGCAGAAACCTTACAAGCTTAAACCCAAATCACTGGCTGACCATAAAGGTATGCAGACAGAGGGCAACACTCAAGAAGCCAAGCTAAGGAAAGGGAGGGGGGGGGGGGGGGGGGAAAGACACAAATCAATAACTTGAACAAAGGTATTAGTGGCCATGCACAGCATTGAAGTCTGATTCTATACGTGAAGTCCACAAAAGTTACTAAAAAAAAAAAACCAACAAACAAAAAAACCTCAAGGGAAAAATATGATTCCAAAACTATAAAATATCACCAAAAAGTCCAGTTTTACCAAAAAGTACAAGACATGCAAAGAAACAAGAAAGTGTGACCTACACTGAAGGGACAAAAGCAGCCAACAGAAACTGACAGTAAGTGGACCCAGATGTTGGATTTATTAAAGACTTCAATAAACTATTGTTCAAAGAATATTTTTTTTAAAGATTTTATTTATTTATTTGACAGAGAGATACACAGTGAGAGCAGGAACACAAGCAGGGGGAGCGGGAGAGGGAGAAGCAGGCTTCCTGCAGAGCGGGGAGCCCGATGCAGGGCTGGATCCCAGGACCCCGGGATCATGACCTGAGCCGAAGGCAGATGCTTAACGACTGAGCCACCCAGGAGCCCCCAAAGAATATTTTTAAAACCATGTTTAGGAGGCGCCTGGATGGCTCAGTCGGTTAGGTGTCTGCCTTCAGCTCAGGTCATGATCCCAGGGTCCGGGGATTGAGTCCCGAGTTGGGCTCCCTGCTCAGCTGGGAGCCTGCTCCTCCCTCTGCCTGCTTCCTCCTCTGCCTGCC